CAGTGTACTATATGTAAAATAATTTGATGTTTTAAATTACAGAGAAAAACTTTCAAGTAATCATTATACAGGTAATCCTGGAAATGAGCAATTCTACGAGCATTTTGGACAGGTTGTTCTGAATAAGATATCAAGAATTATGCAAATATCGGAGGGAAGTATACTCTTCTGCACAGTATCTCACCTGAATCATGTTCCTATACCCAGAGAGTATTCAGAAATGAGCATCTGCAACTGTGACGGTACCATTTTTCATTATTTTTGCGATATGTTAACTGCAATCTGATCTTTTGAATCTACTTAAAGGTCAATATTCACCTCTAATGATTTGTAATTGCTAGAAAACTTTTAAAAATCAAATTTTATTATCAAACGTTTATTTGATGAAAGGTTGGCTTTATCGATTAGTGATGCGTCTTCCTTTTTTCCTGTTTTTTCATTTCTTTTTTTTTAGATCGTATTTCATTGGCTGAGCAAATTGAATATAAATTCAATTTTTGTCTTCAATATTTACCCAAAACAGCAAAATTTATTCTCATTGGACATTCTATTGGTTCTTACCTCATGTTAAGGTTGGCATTCTATCTCTTCCACTTAGATCAAATTCAAAATACTTTTCATGGTACTTTATAGATTTGAGGTAGTAAATCGTGAAATGTAACCACGAAATGCTGGCATAATCTAAAGGATGCTATACAGTCTTGATAGGTTCTGTCCAATTCGTCAAATGAATCTTTAATCAACAGTCGGGTGGGAATCAATATTTCCATCGCTAAAAACTGTGGAATTCACTAATTGCAGGATATTACCTGATTTGCTGAAGTATGAATTCAATATTATTCGTTGTATAGCTTTATTCCCTACTATTGAGCATATGGCGGAATCTCCAAAAGGTGAACATCTTTTACCATGGTTGAAGGTTAATTCTTATGAAGTTAGTAATTCTTATGGAATTAATTCGTGTGAAGTTAATTCACATGAGAAGTATTATTCAAAGTTTAGGAGTTAATTTTATTATTAATTTTATTTTTTGATTAAGTGAGAAGCTTTTTTCGGTCAATCTTTTTTTGAATTGAAGTTATTTATAATGATAGTTTTGATTGATTTTACTCAAAATGTTAAAAGGGAAATGCGGTAGTTCTAATATGTTATAGAAGTTCCGTAACTGGGACGGTGTTGTACAGACGCTGTTCAGCTGTTTGCGATATTTGCCTAATTCTGTGAAAGAGCGCATCTGTACTTTCGTCATGGGAAATCGATGTCAGTACTTTCCGCCCTGCATACTACGAAGTGCTGTTGAAATTGTTGATATAAACGTCATTCGAAATATTATTTTCATGGCAGTGGACGAATTACTTACGGTTTGAACATAGGAATTCATTTTTGAATGTGGTAAATTTGAATTTGGTATTTGTTTTTAGTTGCAACACTAACAGAAAAGTGATGTGTAGAATTGCATTGATTTCAGGTTTCGAACTTAGACGAATCCCTTCTGCGCCATAGTGATCGTTTCCGTTTCCTGTATGGAACTACGGATCAATGGTGTCCGCTGCGTTATGCTTTAGAAATGCAAAAAAGGCTTGGGAAAGGTAGTTTTTTTTTTTTTTTACTATTTGCAGTTTCATTATTTACATTAAAAAGTAGTCACACTAATGTGCAGGACTACCGAATGTTTTGTCAGGCGATAATTTCACAATAAATATCTTGAGTTTTTTTTTTCGGAAAATCATTTGAGCTAAAATTATCCAAACCACATAACTTCCAGACTTTTGTATGGTTTTTAGATCTAGTTATAATCGACGACAAGAAGTGCGAGCATGCTTTCGTGTTAAATCATGGAGAAGTGGTTGCCACTGATGTCGTAAAATGGATTACTGAATGTTATGGTTGATTTCATATTATATCTGAATGATTAGTCATACTTGTTAGATGGATTGTTAGTAATCTGTTATTACTGTTCTTATGAAAGTTTCAGAGGAAGAAACTTACGTTTGATTGTTTTCGATTCAAAATCAAGTTGCATTTCATTTTGTTTTTTGGTTCTTTTTTAAAATATATTTCTTAAATTGATCATTTATTGT